TTGATATATAACTGATTTTCTTCAGGTTATCTTTGTAAAGATTTTTTTTATTATATTCACACGCTCTGGCTATAATAAGACTATTTTTTATTGTTTTCATGTGTTATGGCATCTTAAGAAACATATTGTAAAGATTTTATAGAATTTCTTTTGTGCAAAGGAGAAAATATGTACTGACCCAATAAAGTAATTGGAAATAAAATTACAAAAAAAAATATTTATATATATATATTTCTGAATTAATTTTGAGCCTAAAATAAAAATTTGTACGTCAGCTTCAAATACAATAAACAATAAACACTCAAGTAGATAATCATGACGTCAGAAAAATCATAAAATAATAATAGACAACAAAAATTTCCACCATTAGATATTCACATCCGTCTGTATATAGAATGATATTGAACACCCTCTCTTTGGTATTATCAATTGAAAATCTGTTTACAAAATTTGAATAAGGAGTGGCAAATGAAAAATATTTAATAGTTTTATTATATACCTCTTCTTAATTGAGAAAATTTTAATAACATTTATATGGCCGTGCAGCCAAGCCTCGTCACAAAATAAACAATGTATCTACGCACATTGGGAGGTGGTTCAAATTGATAGAAATTCACTTGAGTCTGAGTGGTAAAATCTACATTGGAATCTTCTGATTACTACAGTTGCAGAACTCATTGAGCGATACAGCCTTATAGCTGTGACAGTGCACCCACATAAATTATAAATACATAGATAGTAATAGGGTAAAGCTGAAAAGATTACTTCTGCTAGAACGTAAGGGAAACCAAAGATCTTGAAGTATTGTTTAAAAGAATAAAATATTTTTGTTGACATACAATTTTTAACTAACCTAAAAAAAAATAAATAAATAAAAAAAAAAAAAAACAAATAATCTAATGTAAGTTTAAATAAATAATATGAATTAATAAGTTCCAAAAATTCATAGAATTATTGAACATTGTATATTATTGAAATAAAAAACCTGTTAAAATCAAATCACGTATTAAATTTGAATTTGATGCGAATTATCTTGTGATAAGGAGAACCTTTCCAAACTGAAATTCTTCAAACTGGGCGCATTACTCACCGTTCGGCAACTGTTTCGAGATTGTCGAAGAACGTGTAATCGCCATTGGTGGTGTATGTTATGGACTCGGCGCAGGCCATGCGACGACTGAGTCGTCCGCTAATCAGGTTCTGTACCACCCAGTATTTTCCATGCTGTTTCTTCTGTAGCCGCAGCCGGCGATTGCGACACTTTAGCAGCTCTTGCAGATCCTGGGTGCGTGGCGATAGCCACAAAGGTTCCTCCGTGCTCGCTTTGAACGGACTAGCCACGGCGGGCGCCTCCGACGGGACTCGATGGCCGAGCTTGTGCCTCTCCAAGGCTGCTGCCAGTTTTTGGGTTTCCCTCAAATTGCGCGCCACCAGAAAAATGACAAATACCAAGAGTAGCAAGAGAAACAAGCTACGTTTGTTGACCTGTACAGCCATGGATGTAGAATCTCTACAGTTGCTCGAAAAATAAACGAACCGACAAAAAACGCGCGACAAACTCGAGTGCACAATTATTACAGCGATATCTTTTGTTACAACTCGAACTTGTATATGTAGAGAATCAGAAATGTATATAATTTATTTAAATATTCATTGTAATTTCACACTTTTCTTTGGGCTAGCTGCCATTACCAGCTGAACACGATGTGTCCAAGACGTGCCTAAACCGAAACTGAGCTGATAATTACCGAAAAAAAAGAGTATATACTATATGTATATGTATATGAATAGTTTTTTAGCTGTAGCTTGAGCGTTTTATTTTGGCTTTATTATGTCTGCCGTTGATAAGCTTTTATTAGATGAACTTAATATCGTTCAACCCGATTGGTTCACCAGACTCTTTTCATAAAAGAAACGATATTTATTTTTGGTTTTTGTTTTGCTTTAAGTTGGATATTTCCTTAGGCTGGGGCCGCACACTTTCCGCTCTCTAAAATGACCACCAGCGCCAAGTGATAAATGCGAACTGTCGACTTCAACTCGAATATAGTACAGCGACTTCGTATGCCAGCAGAACGCGCGAGGATCGTGATAAGAGCAACGCGTAGTGGCGATTGTAATTTTTGCTAAAGTCCTAATCTAACATAGCATTTGCCATTGGGCGAGAAACTATTATTTTTGATAAGACATTTTACTGTGTAATTTGTAGCTTTAGTTGATCCAGAAATGTTGAAGCCCCTTAAAGACTAAAATTGACTAGACATTAACAATGATGAGAATCTACATATATATATACATAGTTTACATATAATAAATACAAAAATTTATCATATACATGTATATATTTTCTTGGGTATTCGCGGTTTTATGAAAATTTATATAAGAAGGAGCCTAGGTTAAACATGCATATGTATACATATATTATTGATCGAGTTGACGGGATGAGCTACCTATATTTACCGGTCTATTTGTTCGTCCATCTGTCTATCTCTTCATCTTCATCATTCGATCGTCCTATCATACATCTGTCCAACCACCTGTCCGTTCACTTGTCCGTCTGTCTCTACGTCCGTTCATCCCCTCATTTGTACGCCAGTCGAGCCTACCGCCCATATGATCGCTTCGAGAATATAAACTTGAAAAGCTAGAGATCAAAAGTTATAAAATGCATAAATATATCAGTTATTAAAAGAAAACTCATCAAATTTTCTTTGGTTTCCATAAAAGACGTAAGGATACCAGTTTTTGGGCTCAATTCCAATGGAATTTCCTGTACTATTGGCAAAGACTTTATATATATATTTATTTTGGAATGCTTAGCATATCAACTCTTTGCAGAGTTCAGGGTATCTTTTAGTCGAGCAGTCCCGAGCAGCTCCCTCTTTCTTGCGTGTGCTGGTTTTTTATCAGCAGAGGAATACCTCTGGCACCTCATCACAATAATTGAAGTTCTTTAACTCTGATAAGCTTTATCTGACGACTACTGTTTGATGTACGTATACTTTTATGTGGGTGTTTTGACGAAATATCATTAATTTAATTGATTAACGGACAAGTAGCTGACATATATCCAAATCTGTGTTAGGTAAATGTAGCGATAAGCTATAGCACATCGATACATTGTCATTATCATTATCAACAACTTTTTAAAATGATAAGATTATCGTAAAGTAGTTTGGCATGTTACGATTTATGTATATGTGGCTTATCGATAAATAACTGGAATTCAACTATTCGTTGATAAGACTTCAGTTGCGTGAATTCTAAACAATTACTTGTCAAAATGTTTCACATGATTTATGTAATTCTTATTATTTTATGTTTCTTGTAAAGTTACTGTGAACAGGTTGATTAAATGAAGTAACATTTAAGAGTCTTATCGATGAACAGTAACGGATCGATAAGCTTGATATGATATGGTTTAGCTGATTCCATATATGTGTTAGAGCGAACTTAATTGATTATGCGAAAAGCCCTTTCAGAGATATGACAGCCAAATACCTACCGAGACATAAAAACCAAATCGACAACTTGTTATGTGTATTTATTTAATAAATATATATTATACCTTGTTTTAGGCAGACTGGACGCAAGTAATATGTAACATATGATAGCGAAAAGTTAAGAGATAAGCTGGACTGCTCAATGTTATATTGTGCACATTATTTGTAGGGTCTCATAACATTTCCAACTCTCTCAACTTCCGTTCATGATTAATGATAATAGAAGTCAAGTTTTGAGGCCCTAAATTGCTGAACTCTACATTTGCTGAAGTACTATTATGACGATTATGAATTAAAGTCGCACTGGAATTTTAATAATAAATAATTTATTTATATGTATTTATTTTATTATTTATTATTATTTATTTCTTAGCGGCTTTTACTCTGATTAATATGATAAAAATAAAATTACTTGTATTCTATATTTTTTCGGAAAAGGCTGTGCTTGTACGCAGACATTTTTAATGAACTGTATTCTAGACTATTAAAATAAACATTTGACTTTAAAATTATGAGCGATCGAAACGCATTTTATGCCCGAAGCTTACAGATAAACCCATGCTAACTTATCTAACTTCAATTTTAGAGAATTCAAGAGCAGTAGAGGGTCGACTGAGCAGTTTGCAGAGATTGTAAATATCACGACAGTCGTAGCTCTAACGACATTTATGACATGTAGCTTGACAAGCAAACGTAAAGGTTTGCGTAATCTAAAATAGAGTATTACTAGTGAACATAATCACTAGCAAATGGAATGTGCAGGCATACAAAAGTGTGCTTTAGTAGTTTTCACTCAAAACAGCGAGGTTATATAGCATTGAAATAGATTGAGAATTTAATTTAGACCAATATGTATTTACAAGTCTCAAGATCTCATTAGGTTAAACTGAATAAAATACATATATAGTAATTTCTGATTGGCAAGCTTTTCAGTACGCATCTTTATACTAGTTGCCTCAGTTTTGGGTTCTAGCTCTACCTAATTATAAATATCTAGGCATAGATATCTATACTATATATGGCTGGAATAATATTGTATAAAAGCTGATTCCAATAAAAGTAATTTTATTTCTTATCTTTTAATAACTATTATTTTTTTAAAATTCAAATTAAAGTCCTCATGGTTAGCCTAAGCCTGAGCTACGGTTAGACGGATAGATAACTAACAGAGGCGAACAAGTGAATAAATATACAATATAAACAACCAAAGTGCTTTAAGATATGAACAAATATTTTTGCCGCACAGAAGGCAGAAGCACTTCCAGCAAGTGAACAACTACACAGATAATCATTTAAAGTGCTTCAAAATATGATCAACTAATTTTGCTACTCGTATTGCCGCCCGAGGCAGTTGGTCTATAGAACATGAACAGATGTAAATATTGAGCACAATTTTATCTTGAAGACTTTTAATTATTATTTGAAATTATGGGCAATCGACATCGCCTCACGTTCATAAAAGTTTACTGAATCTTAAACTATATTGAAGACTAGTTAATGCCTTCTCTCTAGATGATGCCCGTCTGCGCTCGTTCCAGTAGGTGATTCAGTCCCACCGGCTGCCAGTTCGTAAAGCTGATATCGCTCAGCATGCAAACATTCCGATCAATATAGCAAAAGAGTTTGCCCACGCGGTAGATCTGAAAATAGTACAAATATCTATTAATATGTGTGTGACTTAATAAATATATTAATAATATAATATTTAATAATTACTAATGTATAATATAAACTATTATACTGTTTATAAATAGATTCATATATGAATAAGTATATATCATATAAATATTTAAAATTTATAGACAGGTTGTACGACAAATTCCATAAATAAATGAGATCAACGTAGATTCAAATGAGGCTAGAATTGCCTCAAGGACACCTTAACAAAATATTCTAGATATAATCCAATTCTAAAGAGTTTTAAATGTCTATTAACGCATTCCCCTTCGCCGTTTACCTGCTTGCCCAGTTCCCGTCGGCCGGGCAGTGGGGCAAAGATGATGCCCAGCTCGGCGCACTTCTGCGAGACGAGCTCCTTGAACTCGAGCTGAGCGGGCGCCGCCATATCGACGAGCATCACGGGTGTCAGCAGGACTGGGGCTGGGGCTGGCGGCATGGGCGGAGGCGGGGCAGTTGTGGGCTGGAGCACGGCATCGGTGGCACGGTGCAGCATGTCCAGGGCGCGACGCAGATGCTCCTTGATGCAGGGCTCGCGCAGAATCGATTCGCTCAGCATGCCCTTCCAGCCGGCATACCAGCGGGAAATCTCCGTAAAGTCTGGCGCCTGATTGAGCCAAATGACCAGGACTTGCATCCAGCGCGGGAAGAAGTGTTTGTCCAGCAGCTGGGCCATATGCTGGGCGGGTATGAGCTCGTGCCACTCCCACACCTGATGCCACAGCTCCAAGTTCTGCTGCAGCGGATTGATGACGAATTCCGCCAGCACCGCCTGCAGCTTGGGTATGATGTGGCGCAGCAGGAACTGCACCAGTTGCTCCTCCGGGAACGCCGACTGCCAGGGCGTGAGCATGGCACGCGCTGAACGATCCTGCGGCGACCAGGCCTGCAGTGCCACGCCCAGTTTGTTGCGTATCTGCGGATAGATGGACTCCTCCAGCTTGGCGCCCAGTATGCCGTGCCAGGGCAGAATCCAGCTGTGAATGGGCACCGTGTCGGTCAACGGATCCCAATCGCTCACGCCCGCCGTCAGCCGCGGCAGCACCAACTGCTCCAGCACCGAGTCCAGCACCCAGGTGGGCAGCAGCGGGGCCCAAGCATCGAGCAGCGCTGCCATCGGCGCGTGCTGCTTCGGCTGCCAGTTGGCGGCGCACTCGCGAAACGAGGGCATCACCCCGGCCCAGATGAGCGAGGAGTAGGGATCGAAGACGTTGCGCGACTGCTGATCCGTCAGCTCGGGCTCCTCATGCTGCTGCAATATGCCGCGCCAGCGCTTGATCAGCTGCAGCGGCTGCGTGGGCTGCTCCAGTGGCTGCCAATCGTTCAGCTCGCGCTTCACCAGCGGCGCAATGACGCCCGCCGCCAGATCGGCCAGCCCGAACTCCTTGTACTCGGCCGCAAAGTCGTGCTGCAGCTCCAGGAACAGACGCTCCGCTTGATCGAGACTCAGGTCGGGCGTCTCGCTCAGCTGCTCGACCCGGAGCAGCGCTGCCTCCAGCGTGTTCATATGATTGCGCTCCAGCTGCACCAGCTCCAGCAGCTGTTTCTGTTCGTGCTG